CAATCCTACACAGCCTGCGTGTCAGTGTTTCTCTTCCTACACTGCTATGGTTTCTATGTAGCTGTCCCCCAAAGTCACAGGCAGGGTTTGTGGACAGTGACTGGGTCACGGGGTATGATGTGCTTAAGAGCTGAATTACCCTTAAGAGATGGGGTCTGGGAGGAAGAGGAAGGTCACTGGAGGCCTGACCTGGAAGGGTTTAACTCCTTCCTGCCTCCTTCCTACCCACTTCCGGTCCGCCATTCCATATGCAGCTCTCTCCACCAGGCCCTTCTACCACCCTGTCCTGCCTTGGAGCCAGCCCACTGAGGACTAAAACCTCTACAAACTGTGAGCCAACATAAACCTCTCTTCCCTTAAGGTGCTGGTGTTGGGTGTTTTGTCCCAGCGAAGAAGAAAATGACATACATACATCAACTTCTAGAAACACCCACTAGTGGAGCATCACTGGTCTTTCTTCCCCTTCACAGCTGCCGGGCCAGATATCAGGCTTTGCTTTTAATATAAATAGGTCTACCTGGGAAGTTTTCAAACACCTGTGCTTTCAAAGCACATATAAACACGATGTCCTTGTGTAGAAAGACCTCCAAACTATAAGAAAATAGATTTCTGTGTGATTTAAATTAAAAGCTAAAAGATTTAATTCAATGTCTAAGCCACTCAAATAGCATTGAATGGTAGTCAGTAGCATAAATCTTCTCTGAAAATCCACCAGCAAGCAAAGAAACATTATCACTTTAAGTCACAAGTGTTGTTTATCAGTAGGTATAACTGTAGGCACTGGCATTATACCTGAGGATAAACCAGTCTATCATCACACACCTAACGCCTTGTAAGTCTCATCAACCATAACACCTCAAAACCTTTCTCAGAGACAGAGTCCACATTATCCCTATTTTCCTGGTTGGAAAGTCACTTCTGTGAATCTCATTTGAGCTAGCGAAAGCTTGGCTACAACTTTAGATCATCTCAGTACAACTATAGAATTTTTTCATTAACCAAGGGTTTTTCAAATTTTGTACACAGGTTCCAAATTTTAGAAGTTCTTTTCCAACATGACTTTGGAAGCTTTACTGAATTTTATTGACTTGAAAATCCTTGTTGAGCTCCACAGGGGACTGAGATTGCTAGGTATGTAAACTAGACAGAGGGTTCTCCACGCTGTAAGGTAACTGCAGAATCTCTACTCCAAAGCACCATGTAACAGAGATCTGAAGGATCTATGCCCTCCCTAGATTCTAGCCCAGATAACTTCATTCTATTGACTTAAACCCCCCCAATTTCTACCTTAGATGTAACATAAAGTCACACTCCTGACGTCTGCTCCTCTGGGAGTCATGGCTGATATAGCTGTTGGCTTTATAGTTTCCCACCTTCTGTAAACCACCACCAAAATGGCTTCCTGCTGGACAGTGAGATTCCTCAAATTATGAAAGGAACAAAAACCTGCTCATTCCTGGATTCATTTTCTGTTTTCTCTATGAATCACCAAAAAAAAAAAAGCTTTACTCCTGAAATTGTGAGTGACGCTTTCCACCTCATCTCTAAAAACAAATCTATCTTCCATATTTTCAAGCCGCTGAAAGTGATGATAAGTTGGACTGCACTTCCAAGTTCCTGTTAGCCACAAGAATCTGGCTCACAAGCTCACAAATTTCCTTTGTCTTTCAAGTATTACACTGCTTACAATGCAAAGAAGGTGTTCCATTTCCACTTGGGGGATGCAATAATATCTAAGGCAGAAGCTTCCAGAAACCAGACTTCTCCATAGCTCCACAAACATGCACACATACACACATACATGTACACACATATATGTGTCCTCGCATACATGTACACCGGTATGCACATAAATCCTCAAGGCAAATCCAATGGGCCCCATCAGATGTTTGGGACAAGGATGTCAAACCCAACTTCAGGTTTTCTTTGAGAACTGATTACTTTCATCTCATTTACCTGCACATCCATTATTTTTACCTAAACGAGCACAGAATTCCCTCTGCTCATGTCAGACCTCCTAAAAAATCTATAGAATTTCTTTTAATGATCTGGTGAAAGAAATCCTGTTCCATCATGACCCCAGCAGGTCACTAGGTCCTCACAATGAGCGCAGCTACAAGTGTGCTAGTTAATTAATTATGAGTTTGTTTGCACGGCCACGGCCTTGAAGCCCACGTCTGGGTCCAGAGTACAGCGGGGAGAGTAGGCATGCACACAGACGGGCTCCGCCGCTATGGGAACCCTTCGGAGCTACAGCTCTAAGCAAGACTGCGTGCTTATGGGTGATGCACTACGCTCTGGCCAGTCTGAAGCTGGCCTTGTAAGAATACCCTTGTAAGAATACCCTCTTCTCGTTGAAAGAATTCTGAAGCACTGAGTTGCAAAAGAGTCCTTAAATCCTAAAGAAAATAAGCGTGGTGCACCCTCTACCAGGGTCTTATTCTCATACACAGATAGAAATTCAGCCAGTGCTTCCTGATGGGGAAAATTTGCTAACAGAATAACAATCATGCATCGTGTTTGAAAGGTATTCTTTCTAGGCACGCATAGCATTTAAAAAGCCATAGAGACTCTCTTTCTACAAGTTTCCAAAGGTCATATTTGGTCTTTTCTCAGGAGAAATCAATTACAAGTGCCTAAACAGCAGGTGACATAAAAAAAAAAATTAAAAGTGTGTAGAATACCAAAACCCTACATTTCAGACTTGAATTACATTGTATCCTGACACCAAGCTTCCTGAAGGTAGATGTTTAAAAAGCTAGACGGCATCCTCAAAACATGAAATAGTAATTAAACAATTCAAGCAGCAAATGTTTTCTAGGGGACCAAAGACAGCCTCATGTACAGATTGTAATGTAGACTCTACCACTGCTCCAGATGTAACACTGCTCACCAGTTTTTCTAGCCATCTCCCACTACATGTGGAAATCATTTGTTATATACATATTCTTAAGGATTAATCAATTCCAGCTATACTTCTCCAGTTTCTCAATAGAGAACACACAAGCAAACTAAAAAGTCAATGAAACAGAATGGAAAGAATCAGGAACTGTATTTCTTATCCAAAAGGAAAGTGAGAAACAATTCATCACACACCTCAAAGACTGACAAGAGACTAGCCCAAGACCACCCCCACACAGGGCACAGACCAGGGTGCTGGGTTAAGTTTTCCCTGACTCTTTTCACTAAAGACCTAATTTTGAAAATAATGGGTGACTTAATTTTATGCACACCTCAAAAAAATAGCATTCAAACTGGGTACAGGATTACACAGCTATAATGTCAGGTGTGTACCTGGGAGGCTGAGGCAGGAGGATGGAAAGTTCAAGGCCAGCCTGGGAATTTAGCGGAACCTTGTCCCAAACTTTAAAAGGGGCTTGGGAATGCAGCTTAGTGCAAAGGCCCTGAGTTCAATCTCTAGTATCACAAAAAGAAAGAAAAAAGGAAGGAAGGAAGGAAGGAAGGAAGGAAGGAAGGAAGGAAGGAAGGAAGGAAGGAAGGAAGGAAGAAGAAAGAGGGAGGGAGAGAAGGAAGAAGAAAGGAAGAAGAAAAAGAGAGAGAGAGAGAAAGAAAGAAAGAAAGAAAGAAAGAAAGAAAGAAAGAAAGAAAGAAAGAAAAGAAAATACTATTTAATTCCTTCAATATCACTTTCAGCCAAAGTAATCTATTAAGATGACACAGGAAAAGAGAGTCCCTGTGGGATGCATCAGAACGAACTGGCCACTGGCTGTCAAGTTGCTGACCTGGTCCCCTGCCCGTTAGTCACAGCAGAATTAGCAGGAGTGAGAAAGAGGCCTTTGAAGACAGCATTTGCTACCAATCCAAGCAGGCTTCTCCTGCAGTCCAGCCCCACGCCCCACGCCCAGCTCAGGACAGTTTATTCTGCCCATTTGGCTCCCAGGGCTGCAGTTTTTATGATCTATTTTCTCACTCTTCACCCAAACCACACCCCACTCAACTCATTCACCCGCTGCTAATATTTTTCTTTCAACCTCTGGCATGACTCAAAACAACTCGCTCGATGTAAGGAAGATTTACTCTTCCATCGATGCACTGATCGTAACTGGGATGGTAATAAAAGCTCATGCTGGCTAAGGAGAGACAGGTGGCCATCTTTCTAGACATCGTTTCCAGAAATCTAGAGAAATGCAACATGCACAGGAAGACAGCAAACACTCCAGGATGCCTGGCGAAGTCAAGAAAATATTGCCCCCTAGAGTATCCATTACTTCAAATAAAAATTTTATTTCTATAACCACCAGCAGCTCCGATTTCCAGGAAATTAACCAGCTCATTGCTTAAGCCCGGGTCAGTGAAGCCCCCTCTGTGTATACAAGGAGCTCCTTCATAAGAACCCTCACCCTGCCCAAGGTGCAGCATGCTGTAGAAGGAAACGCTTTCACTTCGGCTCCCTTAGGTAAGTCTGGGTCTGCTGTTCAAATTCGCCTTGCTCTTGCCAAAAGACAACAGAGAAAGCAGATCAGCCTATGCGCCCCTTGAAACGCTTTCTCTCTCTTATCTTTTCTACCTTGGGTAACTCTTGAAAGTTCTACCTTTCTGAGGTTTTATAAAAGCCGTGCATTGCCTTTGTCATTCCCAATCCTGGTTTCCCAAAGTCTGGTAGCAAATACTGCACCCTACATCACAGGCAAGCAAATCCAACTCGTGTGTCGCCACTAGGAAGGTAACACCTGTTCTCCCCACCTCTGTCCGGCCCAGGTCGGGGACCGGAGTTTTTTTGGCATATCAGCACCTATAAATGTCAGAGTACAAAGATTTCAAGGGACAGTTCTTGTGAAGCAGTCAGAAATCCCTTGAATTAAAAACCATCTTCTTTCACCTGAGTGATGTAGATCGTTGGTCTTATCCCAGAGAAATCTAGGACTCAGTTAGTTATCCTGAAAAGTTCTCTTGAAGATGGATTTCTTAAGGAGTTTATATGGGCCACCGCGTGCGTGGTGTCTGAAAGAACCAAAGATGCCAGCGACTGCGCCGCTTACCCGAAGTGGGGCTCTCGTCCCATCCTTCTGCCCTCTTGACGCGGCTCACGGTGACTCCCAAGCACATGTTAACCCCAATGGCAAAGGTGAACAGGGAGAAGACCTGCGGGGATGAAGAGACCCAGCTGTCAAATACAGCCCGGAGCTGAGTCAGATCCCCTGACTTCAACGTCCCCAATCCTACAACTTCCAACGCGCCCTGCAAGGCGCTGCCTGCACGGCAACAGAAGAGAGAGCTTCCCCTACGGAAGGCAGGGGCTCCAGGCTGCTCCCCGCTGCCTCCCGCTCCTACCTGGCGCGACCGCGCGGAGCCTCCTGCAGCCATGCCCGGCTCTGGCTCTGGGCTCTCGGCAAGCCCTCTGCAGCTGCGTCCGCCTGCAGGGCTGCTCTGCCTGGGGCTCCTAGTTCGGTCTGTTCACCCTCGGCAGTCCCACCTGGGAAGTTGACAGGCGCCTCTGATTTGCCCAGAGCTCGATTTCATCACGGTGGGTTCACAAATTGCAGCTCCGAGCACAAGAGGCTTAAGGCCTCACCCTCCGGCCCGCCCCCCGGCCGAAGGTCCCTCCCCTGGACACTTCCATGCGTCTCCTCTGGCAACAGGAGGATCCCTGCTGCAGCTCCAGCCAATACCAGTGCCTGCTTCTCCTCTTTCCCGCCCAGAGACACGGTTTGTCAAGAAAGAAACCAAATGTGTTTCATCCTATAAAAATGAAACAGGGCTTTGCAAAGCTGTAGCAGCTTTCAGCTCTGAAGGTTTGCAACATAGTGATTTCACGCCCTCAACCTCAGGGCTGTGGTGCTTCAGGCAGGGGAGGTTCGCAATTTACAAACCTGGTAATTGTCCCCGGCTTTCCCATTTTTTTGTTTTCCTGGCATTGTGAACGACCCTGTCCCTGGACTACGGTCTCATTGCTCAGATGTTTCTCACGGTGAAAACTCCCAAAATTGCAACTCATACATGAGATAGCATTCTTTTCTCCACACTGTTGTTCTATTTGAGAGAAGTAACTTTTATCAAAACACCGGGGATGCCAGCTGCGCAGCAGAGTCCCCTGCTCTATGAAGAAAGACAAAATAACTTCATTCTCTACCCATTCCTGGCCAAACTCAGCTGGTTTAGGGGGCTGCGGGGGGTGGGGGGATAAGAGATAACAGCACAAAGGAAACTTTATCAGTAAGTGAATGTAGGACAAAAATGTTCATGGCCGCGCAAATTCAGATTTAAAGCAATGTTCCCCTACTCGGTTAAATTATCATCAGCTGCTAAACTCCGTCCTTTCAGGCTACTGTTGAGGTTTCTTTACTAAGCAATTTGGCAACCGCAGCACTTCTCAAGGAGAAATTGAGGCCTCTGACTCCCCGAGCTGTTTAAACATTGTATTTCTTCAGGATTCAGATGAGGGGTGGTTTGGCTTGGGCTTCCCTCACCCGGCCGGTGACGGTCTCTCTCCCACGGCGCCTGTGTGTGTACACAAACAAGCATGGACTTATCACACGGCAAATTTCGAGAGGGGCCGTGGCTCCGGTCAAATAAAACACGATAGCACGGAAGCAAGAACTGGCTCACCGGGGGCTGCACGGGAGCAGCCTGCTTCAAATTCCAGAATTTAGGAAGAGCAAGCTAAGAACCAGCAAGTCAGATGCCAAACTTCCAGTCGCCCTTCCGGACGCCTGCTAGCCTGCAGTCGCGCAGGAACGGCAGGCTTACGCATGCTCCGAGGCTGCTCTGCTGTGTGTGCCGTGCTGAGCTGATTTGGGGCTGTGGACGGTGCGAGGCTTACGCGAGCGGTTAACCCCACGTGAGATGTTTCTGCTGTTTATGTTCAGTTTCCCGGGGCAAGCCTGCCGTCCTCGGGCCAGCTACACATCAACAAGGGAAACATCAAGGCATCCTGCGGTCTCCTCACAGGCTGCGGTGCTCCAGCAGTTCCAAAGCCCCACTCCCCTTTTTCCCGGTCCCCCCTGGGCCTTGACAGAGCCCAGCGCCTTTAGACTTTGCCTGCCGTGGGCTGCAGAAACCCAGCTTGAAGACAATGAAGCTCAGCTTAGAAGAAGGAGAGCCAGAAGCTGAACATCAGCCGCTTTCTGACTTTATTGACCTGCAGATTGGCTGTATGGGCAGGAGCAGCTTCTAAGCACCGTAGCCAAGCGGCTGTGTGATCAGCTCTGTACTGACCTTGGTACCTGTTCCCCAAAAGAACCTGAGCTCAGCCACGTTTGTGTGACCATGTTCCTGGAGAACGTCTTCCACCAGGTCACTGTGCATCCAGGACTTGCACACACGCACACTACACTCACACTACACACGCACATCCACTACACTACACACAAACACACACACTACTTACATGCATGTACCCACTACGCACACACACGTGCACTATAATACACACACACACAAACACAAGCAGCATGTGACCACAGTCAGACAGAATTTTACTACAAGATTATCATTATGAATTACTGACAGAAGGAAAGCTAAAATCGCTACCTCCAGCATCAAATCAGCTGCAAAACTAAATTACCCCTTGCATCCCTGGCCTCAAGGGGTGGGGGATGGGGAGAGGGCAACGAAGATGGAAAAGGAGTTAGGATGTGTTATGTATGCGGACCAGCTTCCCACAAGGAATGCGATCACTGTGTAGCACACAGTAGCACACGTAGCACATAATGATCACATTTTACTAACAAACTAAAATAATAAGTAAAATAAAATAACTCCTCATTGTCTAACCTGAGAAACCCCAAAGACCCGGGAAAGCATAAAATAGGCTGAGAAATTCAACTACCCTAACTGGAATCTAACACAAAACCTTTTATAAGAAAGCCAAGTCAAGACAGTTCACCTGCTGTGTGTCTACGATGTTTGTAGAACAGACACAGTAGGCTCAGTAAACAAAAAGCGATAAGAAAGACTGAAAACTGAGCTTGCGGCGTGGCTTCTCCAGCCCGTCCTGTTGCAGAGAACACTGCCCCTGGCAGAGGAAAACTCAGAGCTGTAAACAAATCTTTCAACAATCCTTCGGTGGCTGGGTGACATTTACCAAGCCCTGGACTCTCCCTGGGGCCTCGTTTAAAACACGGGTGTTTGTGCCCTACCTGCTGCAATCCTGATCCATTTGGTCTCAGGGGTTTGGAAAACAGAAAGTCGCTCAGGGTCCGGAAAAGCTGCCCTGATAGACGGGGCCAGTGCAAGTCATGTGGGTGCTGCGCTTAAAGAAACAGAATGGGAGAATAAACTCCTCTGAACTAATCTGCCTGTGCCCTGCATGTCTAAGTGCTCGGCCTAGTTCCGAATGCCCCCTTAGTACACTAGTCATAGGACCCACTAGTGACTGGACTTCGGGCTGAGACCTCCTAATGACACCACGGCCATCCGTCCAGGGCAGTCATCTCCAAACCTTAAGCGGGAGAGTAGAATTTTATTTACTTTGTGGAGGACACAAAGCAGCAGTGTGTACGCTGCTTAACTGCAACACAGTAGTTGTATTTATACAAAGGCACAGGCTGTCTTTTCACGAGACGAGTCTGTGAAACCTCGTTCCCAAGCTCTGGTTCAGATAAGAGGACTCAGGCTAACTTCGATTCGGAAGATGTGTGGTTGAGGGTTGTCACCCTTGCTTCCTGCGGTAACGGTGAAACTGTCATGGATTGATTAAAGCTTCGACTACATCCTGTTTCTCATTATGCAGAGTTGACAGGACTGGACTCGGTTTAACTTTATCCCAAGAAAAGTCCAAGACAATAGGTGACGTCATGCAGCTGCTGGCCACGCCCTTTTCAGACGCTGGGGTAGCAGCAGCTGCAGCCCATGCCCTCCAAAGGTGAGCACAGTCCCCGTGGACACTCTTCTTCTTCTATCAAAACTCTGTGTAAGCCTCGTTTTCAGCTTCTCTTGTGCTTGAGGACGATCGGAAAACTCAGAATAAGAACTGGACAACAGTCTTTGCACATGGGATTTACCAATCTAAACCCAGCAGGAGTTTCTGATACCCATACAGGAGCACCAGCCACAAGCCAGCACCGCAGAGGTGTACAAGGTGGATGCCACTTGAGCCGCTGACCACAGAAGCAAGTTTAAGGGGCTGTGTGCGGTTCCGGGGGTTCTCCGCTGGAGGGATGGGTACCTCTCTTCAAATCCAAATGCGACTTGTCAGATTAATTAGGACATAACTAAAAGCTGACATGACAGTCATATCTGTAAGCGAGTTTAACTTAGAAATTTTCATGCACCGTATTTACTCCCAGTGGAATATAGGCATGAGTCTCACACCGGAGCCCTCTCTGCCTTGCACGCGTGTTCATTCACTCGTGGCTCAGAGGCTCCGCAACACCAGAGTACTGCACTGCGGTACCATGCAGGGAGCTGGACAGGATACAGGGTAGGATGGGGCCCAACACGTCCTGAGCCGAAAAGACAGCAGCTTGACCAGTGTGGGGAGGACGAAAGTTAGGAGAGTTTTTCCTGTGGTTTCCCCAGATCTCTTCAGGGTGCTGAATTATCCTGTGGCAACGAGAAGCGCTAGCAAGGCTTAGGAAGGGGGAGGTGTATTCAGATTTTGAAGCGTTAATCTCTACACGCTGTGCATAGAAACTGGAGGAAATCGAGAAGACCCTTTGGGAAGGCACGGCGGTAACCCAGGCAAAGACGGACATGGACAGGAGGGGGAGGGGCAGCGGGGAGAAAGAAAAGCTCAGAGTTGAGACAAGGGCGAGCACGTGACCTGGGCACCAGAGGTGGGGGACGGCCGCTCCTGAGTTAATAAATACTGAGCCGCCACGGTGACCACGCGGCGCAGACTCAGGACAGCCAGTCTGGGTGTTTTAATTGGATCACAAGAAAAAACATAGACATCTGCATCCATTTGCTAATACTCTAGAATTCAGCAGGCAAAGTAAGGGGCGTGGCCAGCAGTTCGAGAACATCTGCCGTAGTTCTGAAGCCATGTAAGGCAGTTGATCAGCATGTGTCACACAGGGCCTTCCGCGAGAAAGGGACATTTTTTCTCAAATTGAGATTTTGAGAAGTCTTGCCCTCGGGAAACAACTTGGTTTTCTTCCCAACCCTAGCTGATCCCAGAACACGTAAAAAGTTCGTTTAGCCATCCCGTCTCGGCCGCTCCGCAGCCCGCACGGCAAACGCGGACGCACGCGGAGAGCAAAGCTCGCTCCGGGGAGCTGCTCGCCAGTGGCGCCTGAACCTCCTGAGGTTCGCAGTGAACCCGAGGTAACTGCTCCACCGGATGTTAGCACAGGTGGGCGGGAAGCTCCTCGGATGTTAGCACAGGTGGGCGGGAAGTTCCTCGGGGTCGCGGAGGCGGCTGAGGTTCCACTGCAGTCCCTTGCGATTGAGAAATGGAAGTTTCAAAGACGGCGGGAGGGATGGGGATATAGCTCGAAGGCATAAGTGCCTGCCTGGCAAGCACAAGGTCCTGAGTTCGATTCCTGTTACAAAAAAAAAAAAAATTATCAAAGACTGCGGGAGGAGACACAGCTGAACAGGGCTAAAAGCCAGGTCTCCAGACCTCATTTCTTGTGGAAACCTGAAA